GCTCCCCTAGTAGGGCTGTCACTTAAATGAGGCAGCCTGAGACTGTTGCCTCAAGCGGCATCGCCTTGGGTCACGTGGGAGGGGTGGCAGGCAGAGCAGCATGTTTGTTGTATAGTGGCCATTCTGCCACTCAATGCCGCTCCCTTTCCAGCCAGAGTGTCCCAGGTTGCTAAGATCCAGACAAGGAGATGTGTAAGGGCCAAAGACATCTCCCCGCTCAGCTCTTACCAACCTGGGACGATCTGGCCGGGTCCTGTCACGCTTCTGGCAACCAGTGACGTCCCCGGTAACGGTAATTCCTTTTCATCAAGTGTTTTTTAGTAGTTGTTAACCAATATCTTATCAGCAATTTATTCAAATTAACTTCACTGTATTCTTTATATGTGTAGGTAGCTGTTGAGTGTTTGTGGGCAAAGACCAATGGAGGTCTTTGCCCACAAACCATAGTTCGATCGTGATACACATGATCTATGCAATCAGGAAGATGGGGGGCCACAGACTGATAGAAGGGGGTTCGGTAACCTGCAATGCCCGCGGTTAGCAGGGACCCCCAAGTGGCGAAATGCTAGGGCCCCGTCACAACTGCAACTGCTGTGACCCTGGTAGTTGTGCCACTATAGAGGACTACAAATCTCACCAATACATTATACTACAATGCAGAATACCACCAGCTATAGAGGACTACAAATCTAAGCAATACATTATACACCATTGCAGAATACCATCATTTATAGAGGACTACAAATCCCAGCACTACATGCAGCCCTGTTGTGGTATCAGCTCCTTTAAGAGAAAAGATGTTGCAGCTGCAGGTGGAGCCAGAGAGCACAGTTTTGTGGGGATTGTGTACACAGCTGAGGAGGAATTCTATCTGGCTGTGTGTACCTGAACTACACTTCCCAAAGTGCTACAGGAGGGAGGGGAAGTGAACTCTTGAGGCCAAAGGTTGCTAGTGAGTCTGGTGTGAGGACACAGGGAAGGCAGACTGCTGTTTCTAGTGTTGTGCAGCCAGCGTGTGGAGAGACTGCGCTCACTTGTCACAGGTGCAGTCCTGAAGTGACATCTGCTACACAGAGTAAATCGCTGTTTGTTCCTGCCTGGAAGACGATCCTCTGAGGCTGCGGGTGAGGTGCCATCCCGCTGAGAGGACACTGCAGGCAGCGACTCGGCCCGGACGGACGCCAAATCTGACGACTGGAACCCCTGATGACATCAGACTGTGCTCTGCGTTCTTTAGTACCGTGCTTTGCATTCTTTTTCCACCGTGCTCTGCGTTCTTTATTACCGTGCTCTGCGTTCTTTATTACCATGCTCTGCATTCTTTATTACCAAGGTCTGCGTTCTTTAGTACCATGCTCTGCATTCTTTATTACCGTGCTCTATGTTCTTTATTACCAAGCTCTGCGTTCTTTATACCATGCTCTGCATTCCTTAGTACCATGCTCTGCATTCCTTAGTACTACGCTCTGCATTCTTTAGTACGATGCTTTGCGTTCTTTAGTACCACGCTCTGCTTTCTTTACTACAGTGCGCTGCGTTCTTTACTACCAAACTGTGCGTTCTTTACTACAATGCTCTGTGTTCTTTAATACCGTGCACTCCGTTCTTGACTACCATGTGCTGCATCTTTACTGCCGCGTTCCTTACTACAGTGCATTGCGTTCTATAGCACCGCGCTCTGCCTTTTTTCCTAACCACGCACTGCATTCTTTACTACCGCACTATGTGTTCTTTACTACTGTGTTTAGCATTCTTTATTACCCCTCCTGATCCACCATGGAGGTGAGGCTTGAAATCACTTCATTCAAGTCTCTCCTATATGACAGATTAGAAGGGGCACTGCTGGGAAAATAGAAGGGATCCCAGAAGTGGCTATTGATTGAACAAAGCAGCACTGGAGATTTGAAGCCTTACCTCTGTGGTTGATCAGGAGGGGCACCGCCGTGACAAAAGAAGATAGCCCAGAAGTGTGGGGTGGGGGTGTATGGATGGAGAGCTTCTCCCAGGGGGGAGCAACTCTGAGTCATTACCCCGGGTGACAGGATGTCTAGCTTCACCTCTGAATACACTATTTTGGATCAATAGAATTGAAGACACCCTGATCAAATGTGGTGGAAAATCCAATCACGTCCTATCAGACCACTTGATGGGGTTCCTGTTTTTGATAGATTTCTATTTGATCACAATTAATAACCTTTCAACTCTAATAAATGGTTCAGTCCATTAAAGTGATTATAGTTTGTTGATAAAACTTGTTAATTAAAGTCTTTCAATCATATTTGTTTGTATTAATAATCAATAGCTGTTCTAAATTGCCTTCAAATTGCATTGTGCTTGTCAATGATCTGTTCCCACCCTGATATAAGACTCAGGTCATTAAGGTGTATGCCTAGCAGGCAATAATGAGTGCTTCCTATATTAAAAGTGCACATTATTCCTCACATTCAGGCCTTTAGCTATGTGTGGTAGGGCCCCATAGCAAAACCATTAAGCTACCCCTTTCCCCATCTCTCTAATCTCCACTAATTGTTTTTACAGCAATTGTAAAAGGTTCCCATTTAGATACATTTTTTACTATTTTGCAAAAAAAGGGGCTCTACTACATAGCTAATTTCACTACTGTGCTAAAGTGCACTTTCTTCAAGGAAACAATTAGACATTGTACTAGGACCCAAAATACTCACAATGATGACATAACAATATAAAAATGTGTGATATCCTCAAAGACCCCCATACAACAGTCCTTATACATCTGATCAGAATCCAGGGTGGGGAGCCTCGGCTATACAGAAGAGCCCCAACATCTGATACGTGTCAAAGGAATGGGAGATAAGCCCCAACCTACACGGGGGAAACCTGTCCCAAACATCGGTTTTGGGGTAGTTGTGTAGAACAATCTCCCTATGTATGGAAGAGAAAAGGACAACATGATGGTGCTGTACATTTTAGGAACAGATTTCTATCACTAACAAAAAAAAAAGAGCTTAGGGGCTTTAGTGTTGATATTTTTGCTTTGCATTTCCCTTACTGTAAAAGTGACTCCACACTTCATGTTCATGCAAATACTGAAGATTGCATAGTGTGCAGTAATGTGAGCTATGTACTGCAAAGCTCATGCAACAGCAGTGGCGTGTTAAAGGGACACCCAGCGGTCCAGACAAATTAATTTTAGCAATGCAGAGGAATGACACACAGTAGAACAGACAGATGACACCCAGCAGTGCAGACAAAGACCCCCAGCAGTGTAGAGGGAGGACCCCCCCCCCAG